AGTAATTTGTGGCTTGCTTGTACTGTAAACCACTTGAAGAAGTTTTTTTGGGGAAGATGACAGAAATATTTTAAATAAATAAAATATTGATAAGTAGATACTCAAGGGATTTTTAAAACTGAGGCATTTATTGGGGGTTCTGCACTTATACCGGTAAGGGGGGGGGGAATCTACCCTTTGTGATATTTTGGATCTTTTTAGGAAATTGCTGGGATGCACAGTAGGGAGGATTACTTGACCTTGTGATCCCATGATAATGCCCCCTCTATTGAGATGAATGAGGAAACAACTGACAAAAGAGAGCTTGGTGACAGGACTGGATTTGCCCCCGTTATGATGACGATATCCCTATTTAATTGCAGCAAATAAGAACAGCTCAGTCTATTGTCAGTGGAGCCAGAACACTGAGAACAACTGGAGCATCCTGTAGACATGTAGATTCATATGGGTTATGTTTTCTATATAAATAAAACCCTTGTTGATGAAGTGCCTGTCTTCATAGTATAATGGTATGAAAGATAACACAACACACACAGCACTGCTGTATCAGGATAATTAAAACAAACAAACCATTAACACAAATGGGAAGCTGGTATACGCACCACAGTGGTCCAAGGCACCTGTGGAATCCTGGTGTAAGTCATTGTCATGTAGATGATTAAAAAGAAGAGTGTAAGAACCCAATAAAATACAGCCACAAACATCACCCAGCCAAAGACAGGATACAGGAAATATTCTGTTCCAGCGATCAGTGTCCATACCAGCAATCCTAGACCCTGGGGAAATAAATTAAGAAATATACTGTTATTCAGACTAAAAGTAGCACACATACAAACCCAAAAGATATAAAGTGTCTTCAGGTTTTTTCTTCTTCAAGTCATATAATCCCATTCTAAAGATCTGTATGTTTGTACTGCCTTGCAAGCACACAGTAGGACCAGAGCCTTCATTCCTGCCACCATGAAGGATGCTACCAATCCTAGTGGCCATTCTCAGGACTGGTGAACACATGAAACTGCCTTGTACTGAATCAGACCATCGGTCCATCGAGGTCAGTACTGTCCGCTCAGACTGGTAGTTGGCTCTCCAGGGTCTCGGGTAGAGGTCTTCCATATCACCTACTGCCTGGTCCTTTTAACTAGAGATGCCAGGGATTGAACCTGGGACCGTCTGCATGCCAAGCAGATGCTCTGCCAGTGAGCCAAAGTGCCCCTTCCCCAGGCAAGGATACTGATGCAGAAAAGTACTACAGTTAAGTATATGCAAACAACAGGGCAGGAATGGTTGGGAAGACACTTGCCAGAGGCCTGTTTCAGTGGCATACACCTGTACAACTGTAATGTCATATGTACTGCAGTCCTAATTTCCATTGATACCATTTTGATTTATGAAACTAACCATGCAATCCTAAATAACTACACCCTTCTAAGCCCATGGAAATCAATATTTAAATGACATTCTTAAGCTGTCGGATACTTAAGTGACTCACAGTACACTCCAAAACAAAGTTACACCCTTCTAAGCCCATGGAAACCAATGGGCTTAGAACGGTGTAACTCTGCTTAGGAGTGTACTGTGGGTCACTTAAATACTGGACAGCTGCTTACATTTAATCTAATAAATTTTGAGTCTCCATTCCAGGCAATTTTCATTTGCTACCTCTGTTTAAGAATTGCTTGTGGCAACGCAGAAAGTGTCAATATAGCCAAGCTTTCAAGAACGTGTGCGTTTGCACTGTTTCTTTGAGGGTAGTTTCTAAGCCAACGCTGTTTCTAGACAGCAGATGATTAATGCTTTAAGCCAGGGGTGGCGAACACGCGGCTCTAGAGCCGCATGCGGCTCCCGGCCAAAATTAATGCGGCTCTTTGCCTCTTATCATCATTTTGTATATTGTGGCTCTGTCGCGTTCCTCCTTGGTCTTGGGGGTGGCGCCCCCAGTGGCCGTTGTGGCACGACGTGAGTGGGCCCCGTGAGGAGCGGCGTGGCTCTGGAGGCGAGGGTTTGGAAAAGACGGGGTAGAAGAGGACCTCAGAATGGCAGGGGGCGGGGTTGACGTCACCCCGAGCGCCCCTCTGCCGACACTCCCGCACGACCTCTGGCACGCTCCGTCTCTCTTTCCC